CATACTCCAAAGATAGTATTTTAGCGTCCAAACCACAAACTCCTAAGTGACCTAGATAGTATTTGCAGATATTTGTGGATGCAACATTATACTGGTGTAGAAGTCAGTATGTGTGGCTAAGCATGTGGATATTTGGCTTGATCTGCTTTGAAATAGAGTGGAATAACTGCCGATCAGTCAGTCCATTTCACTGATGTCACTTTGAACAACTGCTTTAATGCAGCCTACAGTGTCTATCCACTGAAGTATTTGCCTGCTATTGAATAATTTTCCTTTAGATTATGCTTCTAGTTACTGGCACCTCACATCAAATATGGTGAACGCGATTAATATTAGTGTATCATACTGCAAAGTGCTATATAAGCATCATGCTATCCTGCATGTTTATATAGACAGACTTGATTTCGTTTAAATATGTGTTTACTTTTCCTTGATTAAGACTACGAAATCTGAGAATCACTAATGATTAAGTAATGCATATTTCAGCTTTTCCGTATCTAAGTTCTGATGCTGTCATTTCTAGTGATTGAATTTACTAATAAAATTCTACAAGAAAAAAAAAAAATCCCAGTAGGCCAGCATTTAGAAGAGGGGAGTTTTTCCATTAAAAGCAGGTTGAACATATACACAATAGTGCATGGAAAACAATGTCAATTCAGTAGATGTTTTTACTATATGTCTATTAAAACACTTTTTTTTTTAACTTCTAGATGAAATTGTAAAAGCAGCGATGGATCTAGATGGCAAACATGTTGTATGCATCTTGGACATCTGTCACTTGGGTGATAATAAGGTGGAAGTCTTTCTGAGCAAAATCTACAAGACAGTGGAACCTGGTGTGCTGGATCCAGTGTAATTTAATAACTTATTTTTCAAATTTATATTGTTCAAAAGGAGGGAAATAAAATTGCTGTAACTTGAATACACCCTCTACACATTGCACTTTTCTAGAACTAGCAGACAGAAACATAAAATTATGATTCTAAGAGTAATTGTAAGGTCATCCATGTAACTGAGAAGGACGATTGTTGCATTTATTTTTCGGCAGTCTTGAAACAGATTACACAATGTCTTGGTCACTTATGTTCAAGAAGGCTGAACAGGCAATACAGTGAGCTTATCTTTTGATAGGATACCAAGGAGTATAAATATGATTGTCATCTCTCTTTGTCTGCCTGTGCACATACATACACAGGAAATTTATATATCGGGGTGAGAACTGAGAAGAGAGGCAAGCTTTCCCAATATTAAAGGCAGTATTTGCAAAAGAATTAACTGGCTGTGATACAAATTTAGGCTGGAAATTAGAGTAATTTTTAGGATTAGAGCTGTTATGTTTTGTAGTGATCTATTAGTGGAGATACTAGGGGCAGCCTAACTGCTCTTTAGGCTCAAAGCTTACTGTGTTTGTGAAAGGGATTAAATACCATGGTGCTTTTAGTACTGGGGACTGGACTGAGTGATCCAAGAAGCCATGTTCAGTTCTTTTTACCTGAGCAAGGTCAGCTGCTGGTTTTATATGTCTGCTTTTGTATATACAGCGTTGGGTAGTGAGTGTGCACCTAAAGGTTTTTAACATATTTTATTTATTAATAAAAAAATGGAATATTTAAAAAAATAAAGTTTGTTAGTGGAACTTGCTTTTAGATTTGGAAGAAACTAGGCTATCTTTAAGGAGTGCTTAGCATGGCAGGATACACAGTTTGTCACACCGTTAGGTTTTCTTCTGTTGGTCACTGCTATCCTCTTTCTTTTTAGTAATAGCTGTGTTCTGAGTGCATGAAGGAGCTCAGCAGCTGCCAGAAGCTGCTACTTCCACAAGAGCAAGAAACTCTGTAAAATTCTGTCAACTTTTTGCCTGTGTACGAAGTAGCAGCTGGCTGGTGCTGAGTTCAGAACCAAGCCCCACTTTTTCCTCCCATGTCAAACAGCCTCAAATCCTTTATTTATACAACTGTATCCTTATTCTCAAGCAGGAGCTAAAACACATTGCTGTTTGACAACTTGTCCATATGAAATGCTGGTCTCAGTTCAATTCTTTGAGAAGAAATGGTTGCATTATGGAAGCTTGCCATACTGTTACTGACCAAAGCCCACAGAGTTAATTTGTAGGAACAGATTTATTTATTTGTGGAAAACTTCTAGGCATGTTTTAGCAGCCTGTTTGTAACTGGGGGGAGTATCTCATGCAACTAGTAGCTCACTTGTCTGCCCTGGGGACAGTGGACTTTGTCTTCAAGTACTTAAATTCTGTACCCTAACTTCAGTTAATGGTAATTGAAGGAGAAACACAACTGTATTATAATACGAGTTCATAAGCAACTTAAGATAAAAGGTAAAAGCCTTAACAGTCTAAAGAAATTTATAAAATTACTCCGTCTCTCTAGTCTGGTTTACAGTTTTAAAATGTATTAATTAGAAAAGTTTCACTTAAATTGCACAGGGACTAAATTAAATGTGACTATATATTGTATGTTTATATTTTTTATGGATCATATAGTATTAGTTCTAGAGCAATGTTTGTCAACCCACGCCTTTCAGAGTACGTTGTAACCTTGCCACAGAAGGCATAATGGGAACATACCAACCCTCAAAGAGCATGGTGTTGCTTGCAATATGTTGTTTGTGTAATTCTGTTGCTTATGGGTATGTGAACATTAGTGGCCATTGCTCTAGAGTGAAAACGATTAGCACCAGCACTTCGTGTACGAAACTGAGCCATGCTGACTGTGTCAGCCAGTATATTTTATTTAGATATACTTCAGGTCGAAGTCTAATTTTAATGAAACCATTATTTCTAGAAGTAATTTTTAAAGTAATTATCTTTGTATGAAAGGACTGATGTGGCTAATGCTGTCACAGAGCCGCTCCATCCATCCCATGCGACAGAAATACAGCAAAGGCTGTTTGCCGCATTGCACTGCTTATTACACTTTAAACGTGTAGCATTAATCATTTAATCCTCCATGTTAGGACTTCCTAACTCTAAAAGAAATATCAGAATGGTCTGGAATATATATAATACGCGCTTGAGACTTTAAAGTATATTTTATTTTACAGAAGAATTGTTGGTTATTTTTCATGGCAAAAGCTGGGAAGGAGAGATGTTTCCTTGTGCAGAATGAAGTGCCAATGTTAGAAGCACAGGCTCTCTGTGTGTAGCTAAAGAATATTCGATGCCTGTAGTAGACTTGGAATTTCCATACTCTGGGTCATTCTGTAGAGGCACTGAGCGCCATCCCCGTAAGTGACACTGAACTTAATGTACCGACTTCAGTTTCTGAAGTGTTGCAGTATTAATATACGGTTCCACCACTCTGTCTGCCTCATCCCCGCCAAACCAGCACTGGGACAAAGGTCCTCTCTGCAAAGAAACTACTTGCTGTGTTGTTTCACTTGGTGTTTGTTGACACAAGTATAAAACCAAAGTATTTTTGATCCTGAGTTTGTTAAAACATGTTAATTTTGCCATGTTAAACCAAGATACAGAATCTTTACTCCTGTAAAATGTCATAGGAATCATCTTTCTTGCTGCTGTATATTGCCACTGCTAAGGGCAAAATACATTCCCTAGCTGTATAATTCATACCCAGCCAAAGAACTGTACTCTAAAATCTTACATTTGCATGTTTCTTGTGTTTTCAGCATTAATTTCAAAGAAAACCAGAGGAAGGTAAACTGTGTGTAGCTAATGGTACTTTTGAGTGTATAAAACTTGCTAAGTCATAGATCTTAAAGGTAAGATTGGTTTTGAATTAATGTGATGTAGAACTAGCACAATGCAACAAAATGGAGAGTGTAAATAAATGAGTTAATATATGTAAACGTCTTGGATTATTTCTTTCAATTTCGTTCCATTTTCTTATCACTTCTGAAAGCTGTTTCAGTTTGCCAAGAATCTTCTCCACAGTCATGTTTACTCTTTTAAAAAATCTTTGCAGGAGAACTAGGTCGAGCTTCCGTCAAAATATATGCCACCAATTGCAGCTTCTCTTGGCTTTCAGCACTGTGTGCATCATGACTTTTGCAGAAAAATGGGAAAAAGGTGTTGATGACTTTACAATTTGTCCTTTTATTTTCATTGTGGACTACAGAGTTCTGTCATTAGTAAGGTTTTCATTTTTCTAATATAAGAAAACAATAGTTGGTGCTAGTAATTGTTAGGGAATACAGCACTGACTGAATTCGGAGAAAGACTCCATAGAGCCTATATCCAGAAATGCAGAGTTCTGTCATAATCATGCAAACATCTGAATGCAAATCTTGCAAGTGAGCTAGAGCGTGAAAATGGGCTGAAAGAGGTAGTTTGCGTCTGTGGCCAGTTCAGGTGATTCTGCCTTTCTTGCATCGGTATAAATCAGTATTAAAATCAGTTCATTATAAACACCAGAACAAGCTGGACCGGACACAGTAGATGACTGAAAGAGTCTAAAGGGACAGATGCGTGTCAAGCCTTGGTTATCTTAGTCTGTAAGATGGGTAGATTTTTTTAATATTTCCCCTCCCTGCGCTTTTGACCTTTGTAACAAGGTCGTTTGCATCACAGATCGCATTGTGACGTAAGAGCCCGGAGCTTCCATCACGGAATGCCAGATGACCTGGTCCTCTGCAGTGACGGTCAGGTCGAAGCAGGAGCAGGAAGACTTGAGCGATCCCTTGGGAAGCAGCTTCAAAGCTAGAATTTGGGCAGTAGTGGGGGAGAAGGAGGGAAAGAAGGACGCTTTGTGACAAAGGGGCAGAAAGTTAGGGCCGAAGGTTACTTGCAGGTCCTTCAGTCTGCAACTCTTTCACAACAGGCAGGCGTGTCACTTGCGTCCCGACCCAGCCCCCACGCCCAATAAGGTGTGCTGGCACCTCAAGGACTTACCTGGGTGGTGTCGAGTTCCTGTCGGAACTGAAATTCCAGACTTGTCACTTGTCGGCAGCTGCGGGCGAACAACAGCCACCACCTGCCAAAAATACCTGCAGGCGTCTACGTTTTGTGCTTACAGGAATAAGGAATGAAGCCAGTGACTGTGTTCCGTCTTTTCTGCATCCTGGTGGCTTTGAATACTTTATTCAAGACTATACAAGCCCATTCCATGAGTGCCTTTGTAAGTTTATTCTATTTCAACAGCGCTAGCAACAGCACGGTGTCTGAGCACTGCGAATGTGGCCGGTATGGATTAAATTCTCCTCTGCTGAGTGCTCGGGGGCTTGTGGGCGTTCCGAAATCTGCAAATCGTCAAGCCTGCAATGCAAATACCCGGTTCACCACCACAAAACCACCGTGGATAGCACTGATTGAAAGAGGCAATTGCAGTTTTGCTGAAAAAATTCAGTTGGCAGCCAGACGGGGTGCAGCAGCGGCTGTGATCTACAATACGCAGGACAAAGGCAACAGAACCCTCGTGATGATGCATCTCGGTGAGTACCACAGCGTGAAGCGCTGAAACCTGACCATTTCCTGGAAGTTTTGTCCAGGGCAGCACACCCAGGGTATGAGGAAGCAGCTGAATTTGTGGATGGTTGTTGCTTTAATCAAGAAAAAAAATGTATTATGCAATTTGAGTCTTAACTTCAGTGCTTAGTAAGAAATACTCTGCTGTGACGTTCTGAGCTTGGTACAGTGTAGCCAAACTGGGGAGTCTCTGAATTTAGTACCATTTTTTACTTGTACAGCACGCAAATTATTTTAGACAGCGATGCAGAGAAACCCAAAGTGTCTGCCTTGAAGGCACTAGTTTATTTTTCGAGGTCAGAGGACAGAAATGAACCTACAGGTGTCTGCAGCATAGGTATGCGCTCTGCAGACTGCAAGCCAGATCTTGCCTTCCCCCCGCTCTCCCCAAATTGTTCTAATCCTTCCTGGGTAGTGGCTGATCTCAGCCTCTTCTGGGATTCCCTGATTCCTTAATGAAAGGTTAAACAAAATGAATGTAATCTGCCATTCTGGCCCTAAAAGCAATGGATCTGTCATTAGGGAAGAACTGAGAAGCTAATTGCGATACTGTATTGCTTGGCTGTTTTATTTCTGCGTGTTCCTCTCAGTCAACCTGTCCAACAAGCATTTTAGTACAAAGCATACGTATACGTCGCTAATTCTGTGACTTATACTGTGGTGGAGCTGCAGAAGGAATCCTTTGGCTTAAGCCTCGCTTGTCCGATTTTGTGAGCAAACTGAGCGGTTTTTAATCCAGTGGTGAGCCAGTATTTTACTGGTCCCGTCCCCGTGCTGGTTTGGGTTGCCACTTGAGGAAGTTTCCAGCTGCGGAGCCCGTACTGGGGCCGGTCAGAGGGGTCGGCCGACACCAGCTGCTCCAAGTCTCAGTTATGCACCTGCAGGAGTGTCACAGGTTCTTTACCAACCTAACCATCGCGTGAGGCTCCGCTCCAAAAACAGAGCATCCTAAGCAAGGTATCGCACAACACAATGAAAATGTGCTGTGTGGCTGTGAAGGCGCAGTGGCTTGTTGTACTACACAGCCAGCTTTGAGCTCTCCTGGTACCACGACAGAGCTCGCATTTGCAAACAGAGCTTAAATGTCTTAGGGGAAGTGTGTAGCAAATAAACCAAAGCTTTTGTTCTAACTCTGGAGAAAGTGATTTGGACTTCAGTGGCCGGCATGTCAAGATTCAGATTAACTTGCCTTTTTATTTGTTTTTGGAGTGTGCCAGCTCGTACTAACGCTGGATGAATAAAGAAAGGATTGTGCTGGCTTTACGTAGCTGCGGTCTCGGTGCCAGGTGCGTTCCTTGTGAGCAGTGGTGGCCCCAGCTGGCCCAGGGCCAGAGCAGGGCGGCCCCTGCCCCCGGAGGTCAGCGGAGGAGGATGGGACGGAAGCTTGGTCAGACACGCCGGGTGACTGGGATGCCACAAACCCGACGGTTAGACTAGACTCCAGAAACAAGAAAATTATTTAGGATGAGCTCTGAAAGTGGACCTTAACTTTTCAGATTTTTTTTCTAAAGCTAAACAGATTTTTTAACTGTTGAAAGCAACAGATATGTCACCCGAGAGTGTATTTCATGAGACATGAAGTCCCATTCTTCTTAATTTAATTAATTTCATTTTCTCAAAGACAAATTTTGGTTTTCATAGGACTGTTTCCTATAGTTGTCCTGTAGGACTGAAGTGGATCCTATGCTCTATTTGGTGGCAAAGAGGGTTTGTAAGTCAGCATGGTAGTCACATGTGTTAAACATGGAGAGGGCAGAATACTTCAGTGAGATGAGCTGGTTGTCTCATTGGTATAGGAGAAGCGTCTCCTCTCCATGTTTGTTTCCCTCAGTGTGAAGCATGGAGCCGTGCGTTCTTTAGTAACACAGAGAGCCTGGCAGAGGGGTGGTCACTGCAGCACAGCGCTGAGAGCTAAAGAGGGCTTGGAGATGATTCATTTTTTAATAGTGGAGTTGTTGGCAGCACCAGGGAAGGAGATCTCCTATTTGGCTGGAACCTGCCCACGGTGGCATCGCCCAGAGAGGCCTGAGGAGATGTGGGGATTAATCCTCTCCGCCATTTGGGTAGGGGACCCTCGGAGGTGAGGCGCTTGTTGTCAGAGCAGCAAGGGGAACATCAGCCCCGCTGCTGCCAGCAATCTGCGAGCTCCCGCTTGAGCAAGGAGCGGCAGCCACCGGGGTTATTGGCTGGCTATCAGCTGGGGCCAG